CAAGCTCCCCCGTGTGTGTGTGGAAATAAGGGGTTTGAGCCCCGGTTCAGCCTCTACGTGTCCCTGTAACTCTGGACAAGACCCTCATCCTCAGAGCCTCTCCCTCGGTTCTGCCAGCTGTGGGTCAGATTGCGAGGTTGGGGTCTACACGACCACCCAGACACGCCATCCCGCCCCCACTGCAGGGATAGGTGTGCTGAGGCAGGGGTGGGGGGGGGGGGGGGGGGGGGGGGGGGCAGGGACTACCGAGCGGATGCAGGCGTCCCCGGCAGCTGCGCACCTGCGGGTTCTGGAAGAAGGTGTCCTTGTGGTTGATGCAGCCCCCACTGCGGTTCTGCCACGGGTCCTCGTGCCGCGTCCAGGCCCCGCGAAGCCGGGCCTCCTCCCAGGTCTTGTGGATGCTCAGGTAGGACGTGTTGAGCAGGCGGCACTTGATGATGTCGGTGAAGTATTGGCACACGTCCTGGAAGGTCATCCTGGCGCGGCGAGGGGCTGAGTCAGGCAGGTCCCCGTCCGGCCCCCCTCTGCTCGCCCTGCCTGCTCGGCACCGCGACTCTCACCACAGTGAGCACGGACGTGGCGTCACACAGACCCTGCACGTCTGTTCTGGCCTCAGTTTCCCAATTTGTAACTTGGGACTGGATCAAACAAAGGCTGCCACCCACAGAGCTAGTGTAGGAATCAACTAAGGCAACAAAAGCACGTTGTACGACTCCTGGCAGACAGAGGCCATTGCAAAGGCTGGCCGTTACAGTTATTAATAGGATCAATCGCTAATGTGGACAGTTCATAATGCATGTTCCCATCCATTATCTTCCACGGCTGTTGTGGGGCCTGAACCTGAATAAACTGGCGGCAGGAACCCCTTGGTAAGTGTGCTGCTGTGGCCAGGACGTTGCCATGGTCACGGGGTGCTGCACACACCTCCAGGAGCCTGGGTGCAGGAGGGGAAGTGCCCATCAGCTTCAAGCAGGCACATATGAGAACATGCACAGGTAGGCACCACATGTGAACACGTATGAGAAAGTCCTTAGAAAGAAACCCCGTACACTAATGAGGAGTTCTATTACTGTGTTTTAACTCAACCGAGCCCTGAGCCAGACTGGGCGCAGTGGATCTCATCCATAGGCGCTCAGACCAGGGACCTGGGGGCCTCCTGCTGGGGCTCCCTGACACCAGCAGGAGGGGTCCTCACTGGGGTTCCACGGTCATCCCATCTGCGTCTGGGCCGGCCGGGGGCCTCACAGCTTCCACTACACACAGGCTGCCCAGGTCTCCTCCAGGAAGGGGCTGAGTCTCTGAGTCAAAGGTCCTGTGAAGAGGACGCTGAGTCTGGCACACAGTCAGGACTAAATACAGGCTGAGGGATGCAGAGGTGAGTGAGTGCAGGATGGGTGGGTGGAGGATGGATGGATGCAGGATGGTGGATGGAGGATGGGTGGATGCAGGATGGTGGATGGAGGATGGATGGATGCAGGATGGTGGATGGAGGATGGGTGGATGCAGGATGGTGGATGCAGGCTGGGTGGATGCAGGGTGATTCAATGCAGGATGAGTGGATGCAGGATGGTGGATGCAGGATGAGTGGATGCACGATGAGTGGATGCAGGATGAGTGAATGCAGAATGAGTGGATGCTGGATAAGTGGATTCAGGATGAGTGGATGCTGGATAAGTGGATGCAGGATGAGTGGATGCAGTGTGAGTGGATGGAGGATGGGTGGATGCAGGATGGTGGATGGAGGCTGAGTGGATGCAGGATGAGTGGATGCAGGAAGAGTGGATGCAGGATAGTGGATGCAGGATGAGTGGATGCAGGATGGGTGGGTGCAGGATGAGTGGATGGAGGATGGGTGGATGCAGGATGGTGGATGGAGGATGAGTGGATGCAGGATGAGTGGATGGAGGATGGTGGATGGAGGCTGAGTGGATGCAGGATGAGTGGATGCTTGATAAGTGGATGCAGGATGGGTGGGTGCAGGATGAGTGGATGCAGGATGGGTGGATGCCAGATGAGTGGATGCAGGATGAGTGGTGCAGGATGCTCATTTTTTTCTTCCACTCTGATTCTTAAGAAAGTGGTTCTGGGCAGGGGCTGCCTTGGTGCCCAGCTCCTGGTCTTTCACTCAGTGGGAGCCAACACTGAGTGGGCATGTGGGCAGCCTCTAGGCCAGTGATGGCGAACCTATGACACACCTCTGACACGCGAACTCATTTTTTTTGTTTGATTTTTCTTTGTTAAATGGCATTTAAATATATAAAATAAATTTCAAAAATTTAAGTCTTTGTTTTACCATGGTTGCAAATATCAAAAAATTTCTATATGTGACACGGCACCAGAGTTAAATTAGGGTTTTTCAAAATGCTGACACGCCGAGCTCAGAAGGCTCGCCATCACTGCTCTAAGCGATGCTGCAGCCATCTCCCAGCCCTCCCCCACCCCGTGCCTCCCTAAACTTACTCTTAAAAATCTAAGTGCACTCTTGCCTCTGGGACGGGTCTCTCTCCCTGACCAACAACGGCTCCTCTGCTCGCAGAGTCTCAGCTTAGGAGGCAGCCCCCTCACTGTGAGGCCTCCCTTCTTCCCTATCCGCTCTGGGCAAGCTGGCTGCCAGCGTGCCCCTGCCCTCTGGCCGGTCCCCCACCTCCTGGCCTCCTGGCCGAGTTGCTGAGGGCCTCCGCCTGGTGCCCCAGCAGCCTAGGGGCCCTGAGGTGGCGGAGGGCACTGAGGAGATGACGGGGCTGCCCAAGTCACCTTACAGAGCAGGAAACCGGCCCAGAGGGACAGCGTGACTTGTCCAAGGCCGCAGGGCAGGTGGAGGGTGTGGCATTTGCTACAGCCCCGGCTCCCACCTCCCTCGGATCCCTGCCCAGCACACAGGAGGTCCTCCCTCAACCCCGGACCTCCACCGGGGCAAGAGCACACTCACCAGAACTCGCCATCATCCTGCACAGTCACACCCATCTTCTCCCGCTCGCTCTTGCTCACCTTCCGCCACTCCTCTGAGCTGGGGTGAGAGCACAGGGGAAGGGAACAGGAGAGGGTAAGGGGAGGGACCCCACCAGGGCCCCCCGGCAAGGGCAAGGAGGACGAGGGATGTGTGCACCAGGCCTCCATCAGGGTGGGTGTGGGTGGGCACCTTAGGTGTGCCCAGCCCTCCTCTAAGACGCCTGTCTGCCCACTTCCACAGGTAACCGTGGGCCGGGCCTGAAGGTCAGGGAGCAGAGCTGCAGGCTGGGGGAGCAGGGGGGCAAGACCCTCAGTGGAGGGGCTCCTTTACTGGGGGCCTGGTCTCTGTTCACCCAGCACAGAGCGGTCACTCCTACCCTCACCCCCGGTGGCCTCCCTCCCTGCTTTCCTCCCCCCTCACTGGCCAGATTGGTCTCTACGTCCCCACCCCCAGGCCTTTGCGCATGCTGAATCCACCCCAGGTGCCCACTCTGAAGTAGTCTCCTAAGGCCATCTAACTCCCAGATCCTTCAAGACCCAGTCCTGGGCCAGCCTCCTCCAGGAAGCCCACCTGTCCTCACCCAAGCCCTCACACCAAGCCACCCGACCACCGCCCGTGGTCCGCCCGTGGTCCGCCCCGGGCCTCACGTGTCGCTCCACGGCCCGTTCCACTCTCGCTCGCCCCAGGGGTTGCGCAGGCGGATCATGTCCAGCTTCTCAGACTTGAAAAAGGCCAGCAGCCCGTGGCCCAGGCGCACCTTGCGCACGTCGGTGATGGCATAGGCGTGGCCTTTCACCAGGCCGCAGGCCAGGCGGACCTCCATGTCTGCCGCCGTCACCGCCTGCGGAAGTGTGGATGCAGGATGAGGGTGAGGTGGCTCAGGGAGGCAGGGCCCTGTCAGGCTGCAGGTGGAGCCAGGGGTCCAGCGCCCCCCACAGAACAGGGAGAGAATGGCAGCCCCCACGCCCCTGGGTCAGCCAAACCTGGACTCAAATTCTGCCTTTACTGAGTCCCAGCCTTCCCAAGGAAGCACGAGCAGTCAAGGGAATGAGACGACGCGCCCAGGCCTGTGCCAGCAGGCAGCTGGCTCCCTCCCCTCTCCCAGTCACCTCATAGTTCGTGATGCCCCAGATTCTGACTGAGGGACCTCACATGTATAGACACCATTCGCCCCAATCTGAGAGGGCCAGGAAAGAGGGTGCTAGTCAAACAGTGTGGGCGAGGCATTTCAGAGCGGAGTGGGCGGGGGCAGGCGGCTTGGGCTGCCCAGCACCGGGGAGGGGCTTGCACCTGCCAACTGCTCCCTTCCCCCATGGGGCTGAGGGTCTGGATTTATAAACCAACCTGGGCAGGGGCTCTGCCTGGGACACCACAGCCACCTCCCACCTGATTAGAGTTGATAACGGGGAGGGGCCCCCTCTGGGGTCCAGCTCAGTGTTCTTACCTTGATGGAGGCACTGATGAGGCCTCCCCGGCTGTGCACCTTCAGCATGCGCTCAAAGAGTGCATTCCTCTTGGCTTCATCATTGGCAAAGTCACCCTCGGTGAGGTCGATGGGCTCAGAAACGCCACCTGTGAAGTCTACCAGCGCATCCGCCGTGTTGCCTCCATCCAGGGCCTGGTAACAGCCCGCCAGCCTGGGGGGCAACGTGGAAAGAATTCCCAGCTCAGGCTCCCCAGCCACTCTAAGCCCTTCACACTACGGGGGAGAGTCTGAGACTCAGAGAGGTCAAGCAAACTGCTCCGGTCACACAGCAGCCACAGCAGCGCCAACATGTGTCCCACTGAGCCACACCACCTTCTCACTCCAGTGCCCCTTCGACTTAGCAGCCCCTCTTCAGAAATTAGCTGCCCAGAAGTCTATCAGTTCTTTTCAAAAGCGTTAAGAGCTCATGTGTCTTTTGACACATCGATCTGGATGAGTAACATTATCTGTAATAATGTAAAACGAGAGGTCACCCAAATGGTCTAACAACAGGGATTTAGTTTGTGGGTTCTTTTTAAAATATATTTTATTGGTTTTTTACAGCAAGGAAGGGAGAGTGATAGAGAGTTAGAAACATCGCCCTTGACTGGAATCGAACCCAGGAACCTTCGGTCCGCAGGCCGATGCTCTATCCACTGAGCCAAACCAGTCAGGGCAACAGGGATTTGGTTTTAAAAACTAATGCTGCACCTCTACTCTGGAGCAGTCAGCAGCCACTGAACAAAAGACTACGAAGAGCTCCTGTGGCCGGGAAATGCTATTTGAAAAAACAGTGCAGCCGGGTTCCAATGATGTTTCAGTGCATTCATTTAAAAACGATTGAGCATCTACTATATGCGTCCTACCAGGTGCTAGGACACAGCGGTGGCCCTCCTGCCCCAGGCCTGCCATTGTCCTGCAGAGGCCTGGGCAGGTCACTATACGCCAGCAGCTTAGCAAACCCTTGCTCATGCCCGGGTTGGGGGACCCAGGGTCTGGCACAGAGCAGGAGGAGGTGGGCAGCAAAGACAGGAAGAATGGATGGACAGTCAGTCAGGTAGAAGGATGGATGGACAAGAGGGAGGCCGGTGAGCAGGGAAGGTTCCACCGCCGGCCCAGACTCAGAGACCACACCCCCAACAAGGCCTCCAGGGAGGATCTTAGGGGAAGAAGCACCGACCAGAATGTGGGTGCTGGCTCCGCCCCGGCCACTGGCAGGAAACCGTCCTGGACCTCCGTCTTCTCTGGTGTAAGTGGGAGTAACTATTCCTCCCGATGTGGGCTGGTTGTGGGGACTTGACAACCCGGTACCCAGAGGGCCTTCAGTCCAGGCCTCCACCTCACCAGCATAGGCTCAGCGGGCCGTGCCCTGGGTGCCTGGCTCTGAGCATGCTGTGTGACTTTGCACCAGCCCCTGCCCTCTCTGTGCCGGGAGCCCTGGCTAAAGGAACCCATGTGGAGCCCAGCAGCAGTGCCACCCCGGCCTGGCCACCTGCCCTCCTGCCCCTGCCGGCACCTACTTGGCATAGGCCTTCTCCACCAGGGCACACCAGAACTCGTTTGGGGAGTTGGAGTGGCAGTAGATGAGCTGGTTGTTGACGGTGGGCAGCCGGTCGTCGATGACCACATCCACCCACTCCCCAAAGCGCCAGAAATGGAAGTGGAAGATGCCCGCGTAGGCATCAGGCTTCTCGGGGTCCCACTCCTGCTCCTTCCAGTCTGGGATGACCTGGAGGGGGAGACACGACGGGGACACACTGAGGTCACATCTGGCTTCCTGAGGAAATGGGGGGCATGCTTCCAGAGGGAAAGGAATACTGGGTTCGAGGCCCATTCTGCCATGAACAATGTGGGACTTGGGCAAATCCTTCCCTTTCTCTGCAGTGGTTGGAGGCTCCCTTAGTCTCCTTCCAGCTGTCATTCTAAGATCCTATGAGCTTCCCCTCCCGTCCTCGTGCCTCCATCTGCTTCTCCCTGCTCCCCCCCACCACCCCCCCAAGCATCTATCCACCCCAGTCCCTACCTGGTGAACGCCACACCCCCACCCTCTCCCCCGCCCCCAGCCTGAGACAGGAGTTGGCAACCACACTGGCCTCCTCCCCCTGTCCACTCAATCAGGCCAATCCTAGCTCCTCCGTTCTGCTAAAACCCGTCTCCTCCTGTCCTCCCCCCAGCACCCCCTGGCCCAGTCTCCCATCTCCTCGCCCGCCCGGGACACTAACAGCATCAGCAGCCACGTCTGCCTGCACCCCACACAGCAGCGGAGTGAGCTTTCTGATCACCACATTCCTAGAAAAACACCTAAGGTGCTCCACCCCCTGCACCACCTCCCAGGCTGGTTTCTGACCCGACCCCCACCCCCACCCTGCTCCCTGCTCCAGGCTCATTCTCTGTTCTTCTCCAGCTGACTCTCACTTGTCCTTTAGGGTCCACCCTCCTCCTCCATGAAGCCCTCCTAGACCCTTCAGACTGGGCCAGGACCCCTGTCCATCAGTGTCATGGCTTCTGGTACTTCTCCTCTGATCTACTTATTCCCATTATCATTAAACACGTATGTGATGGCATGAACAGGTCTGATACCGTCCCTGGAACGTCAGCTCTCCGAAGGCAGGGACACACCAGTCTTTGGTCACTGCTGTCCCCCAGCACCTAGCCCAGAGCCTGGTCCAGAGAGGGTGCTTGGTAAACATGTGTTGCCTGAATGAACAAATTCACGGGCATTACACGGGACTCTAATAACAATTCTTATTATGGAGCATCTTGGAAATGTCAGGCAGCAAGCCTTTGAGTGCCATGAGTCATGTCAGTTTCATTCCCACAATAACCCCCGTGGGTAGATTACAATTATTCATCCCTACTTTACAGATGAAAAAAAAATCAAGCCTCAGAGAGGGCAAGTACTTGTCCAGGGTCACACAGCTAGAAAATATACGTATTCTTCACCAGGGAGGACTGCTCTTCGCCGGGCCCCATGCTGCCACCGAGGACCCAGATGAATCAGACATGGCCCTGCCCGCAGGAAGCTCCCAGTCTGGTGGGAGAGCAGGCACACAGGGTGCGTTCGGGCCTTGGAGAGAAGGGGTGCAGGGCCCGGCCTGGGGGGCGGCAGCAGCAGCTTCTGAGAACGTGTCCTGAGAACTGGCAGTGAATGTCCCCTCACAGACAAGGACAAACAGTGGCAACATGGGCATCAGGAGGTGGGCGGGAAAGGGAAAACCCTTTATCCTGCTGAGCCAGGGGGACCTGCTGGCCCTGCTAACCAGGAGACCAGAGGGGCCGAGCACCATCGGGACCATGTGCAGCTCCTTCTAGAAGGAAACCACTCCCAGGATCGGGGTGGACACGCAGGCATCCAGGCTGGGGAGCCAGACACGCCTCAGGAGACTGTAAACCCCTGGGCCCGGGCGGGCCTGAGCACAGAGACTTCAGCCAGAAGCCATTCCCCAGCCCCCACGCTCATTAAAGATGTTTTTGTTTATACGCCTCATACCATCAGCAGGGATGTTGGGAAAGAGACATGCTCCCTAGTGGGACATTCAAGACCAAGAAAATGAAAACGCTACGCACAGTGAGAGGCATCGCGGTCGTGAAGGAGCCCGGGAGGTGCCAGGACTGCGGTGCCAGGCGCAGGGCCGCTGTTTACTCCATCACCCTGACCCTCGCTGCGGTCTTCTGGGACAGTGTACAGACACTGCTGGCAGAGCCGCCCAGGGGCACAGCAAGGGAGGCAGGACTCACACTCAGGGCTCCGGAGCCTGGCGCAGCGTCTGGAACCCAGCGGGGGCCTGAGACTGGCTGGGCCAATCCCTCCTGCCTCCTTCCTCCCCTCCGAGCCCTCTGTGCCCTTTCTAAGTAAAAGCTCCAGACTGACCCCCAGCACTCTCTCCTGCTTTACTCTCAGGACAGAAAGTTGTGCACAAAATAGGGCACATGCAGGGTGGGGTGCCATCCCCACTACACAGGCGGGAAGACTGAGACCCACCGAGGAGCAAGGAGCTGCCCAAGGGCACAGAGCGACGGGGAGTCCAGGGCTGAGAACACTGGCGTGGCCACTACAGGCTGCTCAGCTCCTCCCCGCTCTGAAAGCCCTGTACTACATGGGAATGAGGGAGGGGACACGAAGCGGGGAGACGGGGAGGGGGGCTGAGGAGGGAGGAAGAGGAGCCCTCACAGGGCACCAGGAGGGCCTGCTGGGGCAGCGGGAGGATCATTAGCCAAAGCCAGGGCTTGGCTCTGAGCCCTCTGCGGCTCAAGAAGCTCTAATAAGGCTCCAGGGCCTAGAGACCTGGAGTGAGAGATCCCTTGGGCCTCCTTCCCCTTCGGCATCACAGCCATTGGATCAGGCAGGGGTGGGCCCCAGGCCAGCTTTCCAGCCTCCCCCACGCCCCCCACTGTCTGCTGGGGTGCCAAGCCAGGGGGATAAGACTGTCCGGGGAGGAGCACCTCACAGGCACACAAACTCCACTCCCTTCCTAACAACATCAGATCAAGCCCGAAACCAAGGGAGAAACCAAAGCCCCTGGAGTCACATCAAAGGATTCGGGACCTTGAAGAGGCTCCAACGGCCGGCCAATCCGAGCAGCAATAAGGATAACAACTTCGATGGATGAAAACACGTCAAATACATTCACAGCCATGAGCTCATGATGAAACACAAACTATTAGTCACTGTCGGAGGATGGCAGGGAATCAGCTCGTGCTTTTGAGCCTGGAACATTCAGGGAAAGAATGGGAGGTTTGTGCTGCCTTTTGCGCACAAACTGTCCCACGGGGGGACCAATAGCACACGAAGGGAGCTTTATATCTGGGGATGGATTCCAGCTAAGAAATGAGAGAGACATGAGAGTTTTAGACGCCCACTATTTTGCAACCACTGGATTTATGAAATCATGGCTTCTAGCATCACAGAACAGAGAGATGACCAGACACGACGCGCCTCCTGAGTGACCATCGCCTGTGAAGCAGTTGTGCCAAAGAGAATTTGAGTCTGCACCTGACTGAGCCATGAAAACAAAGCCAGCAAATCCTGATAGAGGAGCCCCTCCCCGCCTTAGCCTCCCCGCAGGGAGCATTCCAAGACCCCGGTGGATGTCTAACGCCGCAGCTAGTACCAAACCCTATCTATTCTGTTTTTTCCTGTGCACACAGACCTACGATAAAGCTAAAGTTATAAATCAGGCAGAGTGAGATATTAATTTAGGAAAAGTTTATACTTAGTAACTGTAAATTCTATTTTTCCTGTATCATTTTTTCCTATACATGCACACCTACGATAAAGCTCAACTTATACATTAGGCACCGTTAAGAGACAAGCACTTTGATGCTGGGACAGTTGACCTGATAACCGAGACAGCCACTAAGCGACTAACAGACATGCCACTTACCCCAAGAGGATACACGGGACAACGGGATGACTCACATCCCGGCGGGAGGGAGGGGACAGCACAAGAGCTCACCACACTACTCAGAACAACGTTCAATTTAAAACTTGTGAACTGTTTATTTCTGGAATTTTCCTTTTAATATTTTCGGACCACGGTTGAGCATGGGTAACTGAAACGGCAGAAAGCAAAATTGCAGCCAAGGGGGCCCTGCTGCCGTGGGAAACTGCACAGGACGGCGGCTGCGAGGGAAATAGACGGCAAGGAAAACACTGAAAGGTGAAGTGGGAGCAGCCAGGTGCAGTGGCGGACCTGGATCTCATTCGAACAAACAAACTGTAACACACGCGTTTATGGCACAGATTGTACATCAGAAGATTTCCTGGATATTTGATGATATTAAAAAGTTAGTGTAAAATTTAGTTGTGCTATTTATTACTGTGAGGGTTCTTTGTTTTATTTGAAACAAGTCGTTAACATTCAGAAATGCCTCCAGAAATATAATGATACTAGAGGCCCGGTGCACAAATTCGTGCCCGGGTGGGTCCCTTGGCCTGGCTGCCGATTGGGGCCAATTGGACTGATGGGGCAGCCAGGGGTAGAGACCGAGGGAGGTTGGCTGGCTGTGGGAGCTCACTGACCACCCGGGGGCAGCTCCTGTGTTGAGTGTGTGCCCCCTGATGGTCAGTGCATGTCATAGCTACTGGCCAGTCGTATGGTCATAACGGTTGCTTAGGCTTTTATACATACAGATGTCTCCTGGAGGGAGGGGGGCAGAGGAAAAGAGATGGGCCGTGAGTTGACAATTATTGAAATGAAGGGATGGGTATGGGCAGCTCATTAGGCTGCCTCTCTCTTCTTGGCTGTCTACGGCTGAAATGCCCCATCACCAGGGGCACCAGCTCCCTGGCCCCGCATTCAAAGCCTGTGAGGGGCGGCTGTGCTGTGCTCTCAACCTCACCCCTGCACACTGCCTCCCTGGGGCCCCACAGAACCCACACCCTGTGAGGCATTAGCCACCTCAGCTATGCATGTGTGGCTCCCTGCAGGCATCCGCCCCGCTCCCTGTCCCTCGGGGATAGCTGAGCCGCACCCTGCAGGGGCCTCCTGACCTCACACCCCCTTGGGCACCACCGGCAGCTCCTCCTCCTTCCCTGCCCCCTGAGGGGAGCTCCTGGAGGGCAGGATGTGTCTCACTCCTGCCAGGATCCCAGCACCCGGGCAGGGCCTGGCCCAGCTCCACAGCCGGCTGTGTCTTCCTGATGGGGCAATCCCCAGGCCTCTGCGAGGGCCCGGCTGACGGTGACCGGGACACACGGGGACAAGCACCAGCTGCGCTGCCCGGCAGGGACCTGAGTCTGGACTGGACCGCCTTTCTGGTGCCCGCACCTACCTGCCCTCCCTCAGGGACTGCTGTGGGGACTAAGGCGGATCATGGCCTGGGAGGTGCTGCACAGACTGTGGATGGCTGTGCACGCAGGGAGGTCATCCCTGTTGGTGTAGGGAGTGTGGTGCATGCACACAATTCACAGACCTCGGGGTGGGAGGGAGCCGAGGTGACCCAGGCAACCTCCCCCACAAAGGAGAAAAGCAAGCCTCCCCAGAGCCCCCTGTGCAGATGGGAAAAGGGAGGCCTGAGAGGTCGAGGCACTCAGTTGGCCTCACCAGGCAGCGAGGTAAAAACTGTGTGGGATTTGGAGCCCCCCTCACACCCAGGCGACCCCATGAACCAGCACTTGCTGCAGAATCACTCAGAGACCTCTGGGCCCCACTAATGGGTGCACCACAGCGCCCCCTGGTGTCCCCGGCCCTTGGATGCTCCCAGGATTGTCCCAGTGGACTCCCACCTCGACCCAAGTGGCTGGGCTCAAATCCTGCTGGGCAGGGCTGACCTGGACTCCCGCAGGTGTGTGCCTGAGCTCTGCAGAGGCTCTGGGTGGACAACAGGCATGTGAAACCTGGCTGGGGGGAGCCTTTCGAAGCAGGGGGTTGTTCACAAGCAAAACCCCCGGTGTGGGCTCTGAACAGGGTCTGACCGTGGCCCCTGGGAAGGAACTAGCCTCGCCCGAGACCAGGCTCTCGGGTAGGTGGAGGCATCGCCTCTGCTCATCCCAGGGGGCATGTCATGGAGTCAGAGGCCACAGACCCAGAGCCCGGTCCCCGCCCTTTGCTTCCTCCTTTAGGCCTCTGTCTCTGCCCCCAAACGGAGTGAGCTAGAGATGGCAAGGGCCAGAGCGCCGAGGAAGGCTCAGATGGGACACGGGGATGTGAAATATCCGTCTTATCTGGTCAGCGGGCAGGGCGGAAAGGACTTCACAGGAGCAGTTGCCCCCTCCAGAGAGGCCGAGGCTGGGAGATGGCTGAGGACAGGCAGCAAATTGGTGAGGAGGTCGCGTGAAACCTGGGCCCAGGCCTAACCCCACCCCCTAGCTACGCTCCTGTCCCATCTGCACCACCCAGCCCGCCTGCGAGGTTGAGCACAGCCTGGTGCATCCCACCCATCCCCTGGGGCCCCACCTCCTGAACCATAAGGTGCCTCCTCATGGCCTCAGCCCGGCTCTGCAGGCCCCACACAGAGGCTGGTCTGGGGCCACTGGAGAAAATGCCGTCAGGGGCACTGGTTCCCGGGCGGGTGTCAGGAGACCTTGTTCTAAACTCCTTCCTGCTGCCTGACCATGGGCCAGTCACCTGACCACACTGGGCCTCACCCCAGGAAGCAGCAGGAGGGGCGTTGGGAGTGTGGGAGAGGCCTGGGGAGGGGTGCTCTGGGCTGTGAGGGGACGGGGCTAAGGCAGAGCTCCTGAGGGGAGGCTGGCTCACGGCGAGAGACTGCACACCACGGAGGCCGGGGCTCACTGGCTTTATTGGGTCATGCACAGGGCAGGGTGGGGGTACAGGCGGTTTGTCTGCCAAAGAGGGTCCCAGAGCTGCAGGGAGAAGGCAAGCAAAGAGGCAGGGGGCAGGGCCAGCCCCAGGGGCCTGGCCTCCCCCAATAGTCAGTGGGGAAGCAAAGCAGGCAATGCCAGGACATTAAGCACATCCCGGACAGGCCAGAGCCGCGTTACAAAGGACCGTAGCCCACACCACAGCCAGTCTCCCACCTGAGGAATCCAGACTTCCACCCACACCTCCAAAGTGGGGGCCCGCGGGCGAGCTGTCCGTGGCCAGTGGGGAGGGCTCTGACCTCCACCTCTCAGTGCATCTGTTCCCAGGACCTGCTGCCCCCTGAGGGCTCTGCATTGTGAGGGAAATGTCACTGCATGTCCCTGACAGGGCACCTCCCTGACAAAAGCCGGGACTGGCCTGCGGCAGGGTGTTGGGGGCACTTCCTGAGGTGCCCTCAGCTGATGCCAGGCGGGCCAGGCCCCTCCTTCAAAGGGGGCTCGTTGGGCCTGTGCAGGGGCGTGAGGCTTGGGGAGCAGAACTGAGTCTGCTGATAACAGTGTCTTGTGTTCCCTGTTTGGTGGGTGGACTGTGCCCAGTGACCCCTGAGGCCGGTGTCCTCCCATCACAGCACGCAGCCCCCTGCAGCCTGCTTCCACCATTGGCCATCACAACTGCCCTGGCAGGCCGCCCCCACCCCTCAGCTCCACCACAGATGCCAGAGATGGCACACAGGCGGCACACTCACCTCCTCTGGCCAGTGAGCTGGGAAGCTGACGTCCCAATGGGGACATCCAAGGCCCTAGAACCTACCGTCCCAGCTCCCGGGCTCTGGACCCCTCCCACCCAGCTCCCCCGGGCAGAGGGAAACCCCTATACTACACTTTCCCCCTTCACAGTATGAACCTCAGAGCCTCCCAGCTCAGGAAGCCCCGCTCCCTAAGGTCATGCTGACCAAGCCCCTGCTACGGGCCAGGCGTGAGCCAGCTGGGCAGTCCTATCATAGATCATCTCAGGTCCGGTCTGGCCACAGGGCAGGCAGAGACTCTAGAATATATCCATGTGAAGGCAGCGTGCTCTCTCTCTCTCAGCGTATATGCACATGTACAGATAGGTCATCTCTGCATGACTTTTATGCTCCCCTTCACGCTCCCTCCTGCAGTCATTCTCAGAAGAGCAAGAAGGTTGGTCCGAATAGCCTCCAGTGTGCCAACCAGTCCTCACTGCCCAAACGTCCCGAGGGCCCCCGAGGCGCTCACACCAGGCCCAGGCCAGGGGCAGCACCTGCCTGGATGTGGCCGGACGGGCAGCAAATGCCTGTTGGCTGGATTCCCGAGGAGCTGCTCTGCCGTCTCCGTCTCCGTCGCCCCGTCTGCAGAGGAAGCCGATGGCTGGTTCTTCAGATCCCTGTCTGTGTCTGTGTGTCTCCCTCGGTCTCTCTCGGTCTCTCTCCCGACAGTGAGGCACAGAGAAGGCAGGTGCCCACGGACACTCCATCCTCCTGCACTAGCCCTGGCCTGGCCTCCGGGTCTACAGCACAAGCAGTGGCAGCGAGTTCAGCTTCTAGACTACAGAGCCTTCGCATCTTCCTCCCTGAGCAGGAGCGCCCGCACTAGGAGCGGAGAGGAGGGAGGACACAGGCCTGGGGGTCCTGGCCACGCTGAGCACAGGACAGCAACTAGAAACAGGTCCCCAAATACACACCTGGGGGCGGGAGCAGGGGGCAGGGCAGATGGGCAAGAGCAGGGGGCAGCAGTGGGCAGCTGCCTCAGAGCTGGTTAAAGACCACGGAGGCCTTGAGGTTGGCGGGCTCCATGCCCTCGCCGAAGGTGATGAGGAAGTACATGGCCTTGCGGATCTTGGCCAGTTCCGACAGGCGCTCCCCGAACTCCAGGGCGTCGGCCTCGTTCCAATCCACGGCATCCGAGCCTTCCATGCGCCAGAAGATGGCCGCAGGTTCCAGCAGCTGGCGCGTCATGAGGTTGGTGAGGTCGGGCGTCCAGTTCTGGGAGGTGCCCGTGATGGTGACCTTGCCCGGCTTGTCCAGCAGAACATCCCAGCGCTCAAACTGCAGCTTCTGCTGCTGGATGAAGTCGAGACGGTACACGAACTCCGCCGGCCGCAGCAGCTTCTCCCCGTCCTGGCGCTTCTCCCCGCGCTGCTTCAGGCTCTCCACGCGCAGCCGCATCTGCTTGGTCAGGGCCTCGTCCTGGACCAGTGGCATGCTGATCTGCGGCTGCTTCGGCCCGTCCTCTGCCATGGCCCCGGCGCTGCTGCTGCCTCTGCTGCTGTCCAGGAGCCGAATGGCCTGGGGCCTCCCTGCCCACCAGGCAAGAGGCCACCAAGGAGGGGCCCCGCCTACCCTTCCTCCCTCCCCTCCTTCTCTCCCCTCTCGGCCGCTGGGCCCTCCCAGCTCCACCCAGTCCTCAAAATGGGGGGTGGATGAGGGTGGGAGTCCCCAAATGCCTCCTCTCCACTCCTCGAAGAAGCGGTAATGGAGGCACTGCAGGCAGGCGGGAGGGTGACAGGCTCCTCGGGGACCAGACGGCTGATGTCAACTGCTGTGGCAACCACCCTGACTACCACGGACGGGCTGGGAGCTGAGCAGGTGGTCACTGGAGGCATGCAAGACAAGCATGGAGACCCCAGCAGGAGGGTGGGGGCAACAGGACCAGAGGGCCTGCTGATTTGAGAACTGAAGTCACCCAAGCCAAACCTAGGAGCCATCCTGGACTCAGCGTAGCCCACACCCTCCACACCCAATCACCAAGGCCTCTCCATTCTGCCTCCCGACGGCCCGAGAGCCCTCCCTCACCATACCCTCTGCCAGGGCCCCAGCGCAGCCACCGTCTCTCAGCGAGACCTGTGCCCTCAGACTTTACTGAGCATCAGGACACTGTAGGACGTGAGACCGAGTTTCTGATTGAACAGATCTCTGCTGGGGCCTGGGCGTTGGCACGTCTCCCGGCTGCTGCCTCTGGTCAGGGTCTGTGCTCGGAGAACCACTGACCCATGGTCGGCAAACCACGGCTCGCGAGCCACATGCGGCTCTTTGGCCCCTTCAGTGTGGCTCGTCCACAAAATACCACGTGCGGGTGTGCACGTACAGTGCAATTGAAACTTCGTGGCCCATGCACAGAAGTCGGTATTTTGTGGAAGAGCCACACTGAAGGGGCCAAAGAGCCACATGTGGCTCGCGGCCGCGGTTTGCCGACCACTGGGTCGTAGACGATTCCTGTGCTCGGGCTCTGCCTCAGCCCTGCACCACCTGGCAGGCACATGCCCAGGTTTCCCTCCTACTAGAATCTT